TGGGGGGGAGGAAGGTATGGAGGGCAACCATGGATGCCAGGGAAAAAGGGGGGAGAAGGTGGGACATAGCAGAGGGTGGAGGATGGGGAATCAGGGATGGCAAGACAAAGGGCAAGGTATGCAGGACGTAAGAATTGGAAAATTATTTGCTGAGAACATATATGTGGATGTACTTGATTGAGACAATGCACAGTGTATTTTGGATGGAAAATTCATTTGTGTGTTGTAATGGTGTAAAGTGAATTAATAAATTAAAAAAGAGAATGTAAAAAAAAAGAAAAGAAAAAAAAAAGTTTTTCAAACTAAGGAGTCAGAGTCAGAGCTAACCCCACCACACACCCACACTGGGCCAACATCAGCTGGCCAGGGCCAGCAGGGATGCAAGGTCACTGGTAACCTGGCATGGTGATCACCAGCATTGAACACAAACTCACCTCAGTCCCAGCTTTGGAGCCCACCCTCACAGGATAGGGCTTTACACAGTCATCTGTCAGCTCAATGACCCTCCCTAATCCCACCAACCCCAACAGCCCCCAGTAGCCACCCTCTAAGAGGGCACAGGCAGCTTCTACTCTCCCTTACTCACTGTGCACATCCCTAAGGAGCACACACACTTCCCTCGGCAAAGCCCCCTGGTTGCACAAAGCACACACGTAACCTGAGAGAAGCTATAGCAGCCACAGGACACCTAAAAAAAATCATAAAATATCTAGTATTGTATTCTTAAAACAAGCCAGAGTCCTTGGAGAGATGACTGATGCCAGGGCTGAAGCACGAAGAGGACAGATGAGGATGGATCAGGAGGGACGAGAAGAGAGGACGTACTCCAAAGATGAGGAAGGGCCCAATGGCAAACAGCAGATGGCGACGGGAATGGATTCTACTCCAGTGTCAAGTAAGAACCCAAGAATCCCTGCTGATGTGAATAATTAGGGGAAAAATCCAGCAAACGGAGGGGAGCTCCTCCTGACAGTAGAATGTCTATTAATAATACAGATGATGGACACTTTTTAAAACCACCACTCGACAAACACCTCAATATAAGAGTGTCAGGGAAGAATCTGACCAAGCATGATGTGATCAAGTACCCCATGACCAAGCAACACTACTGCCATGTCACACCGATGCTGCTGTCCTGATTTTGATCACTGTCCTGTGGTTATATGGCACACGAACATTTGGAGGATTTACGTGCCCCTAAACAAAAATGGCTAAATAATTGTGAGATAGCCATACTCTGCTATAATTCACAGTTTAAAATAAAATAGTGTTTGCGAAGAGCTCGCCGTGGCACTCGTTCAGTGGAAAAGTACATGCACAGTGCAAAGCACAGAGCATGCTGTTGGCATCAAAACAAGCTCATGCATGCCTGGAAAAGCACTGCAGCATTATCTTAGTTGTTTTATACTGCTATAACAGAATACCACAGGCCATAATTTATAAAGAAAAAAATATTTCTCACAGTCCTTGAGGCCAGAAAGTCCAATATCAAGATGCCAGTAAGCAGAAGGGCAAAA